ATGACGAGTCAGCTAATTCATTCATATGTCTGTTAGATTTTTCGTATTATATGTACCTGTATGAGTGCGTTTGTGATATCACCTTTAGCGACCCATTTCTCCACTATATGATGCATAGCCAGCGCCCCCCCGCGGTCTAATTGCGAGACTAGTTTCGTCAGACGGTTAGCAACACTAAAGGCTTGCGCGCGTTCTGATTTAGCCTCACATTCCAAGTACATCTCACGGTATGCGCGCTCCACAGCTTCGCGTTTATCCTGTGATGAAAATATTACAGTTTAAAGATAAATGTACAGTTTTTTATTTCTAAATCTTCCCACACGATGTATGAGTAACGCTCGAAACTAAACTAAGGATTATAGGGGTAAGGGTTATTATGTATATGACCCTATAATAAAGTATTGAAAGTAAAAGTTTTACGAACAAAAATAAATAGTGAATCGCGTCTTTTATGGCTTGGTGTATTTAGGTACTTATTTATGTTTAAGTATACTTTTTACTGTGGGAAGATATAGATTGTAGTAGATAATTCTTTAATATCTACAAAGGCCTTTACGAACATTAGTCTAAACCCTTCTCAGTTGAAGTTGTTTCCTAACATAAATCCTAAAAGAATCTTCACTTACTTGATCTGGCGACCATACGAGTAGGAGCATGTTAGCGACCCCTACTTTCGCCGATTCTATATTGAAGTGATGAGCAGTCGTGAAAAAGTCGATCGCTTCACTGACGTCGCCGGCTTGTTTGGACATCAACAATGAATTTATCATCGGTACAGCGTCAGATATAGTTCGACTGAAGTATACAGATTCCTCTAAGAAAGCCACAATGCTTTCCTTTTCTTCTAGTCTCTTGTATAATGCCTCTTCGTTCTCATACTGATGAACTACAGATTGCCGTCTCTCTGGTATGACGAATATATTTCTTAATAACGCGACGAAGTAATCGATCTGAAATATAGTTGTAATAAGTATGGTTTATTTTGTTAATGCGAGTAACAATATTCGTAGAACAACATAACAAAAAACCTCAAGACTATAGTGTCATAAGTATTAAACTACGTAAGTTTAATGTTAAAAACGTAAACATACCTGATCGCTCTTTTCCATATCACACCTCATTAACTTAGCGTCGGGATACAGTCTCTCCGTGTGTTTAACGATCAAGTAAGCCTTGAAATAGTCTTTTCCTCTAATACTTTTTCTGATAGCTTCATACAAATTCTCCAATGTGCTCTGAGACAGCTCGGGCTCATCTTGTGTTAACAAATCCATTTTTTCTTTGATCGTTTTCGTAACATCATTTTCTATTTTCTCCCATTTCTTCACTAGTTCCGGATCCGGTCCAGGGTTTAATTTCTTTTGGAGATCTTCTAGAATCTTCCTCTCGCTTTCCAATTGTTCTTCCAACATTTGCAATTTCAATTGTGCTGAAAATGGGTTGCACTCTAGGAAAACCTGAAAGTTATTTCATATTGTATTATTTTACGCGTTTTTGTAATAGTAAGAGTGAAATTTGCAATGGACCTGGCATTTGACGAGCGTCATTAAATACTTAAATAAATTCAGAGATACACTTGACAATAAAAAGTGAAATTTAAGGCCTTTATGTACTTAAAAGCTAACCAAAGGTACTTTCAATATAGTTTTTACAAGTTTCGCGATTGCTTTTGTCAACTTGAAGTTATGTACAAGTATTAGAAATAAATATACATAATAGCTTGATTACCTTAAGCAATTGTATGGCAGCTTTTCTGACGAGTGCAGCACGATCACTGAGACGAGCCGCAGCCCTTTCTAACACCGCCCGCTGCCTCGTTACTGGGACACAGTTCTCACGCTGTAGGCGACTCCAAAACTGAAGCACCTGTTATATAATAAATAGATTTCGATTAACTGTAAATGTAAATTTAATATCCATATAGATTTCCAGGATTAATATATGAAGAGATAATATAGAGTTTGAAATTATAGAGCTTAATGGATGAAGCTAATGGAATTATATATTATAGAGACAGCAAGTTCATGTTGATTACTTTTTCAATCTAGATTACTTGAATATAACATAATTATAGCTACTAATTACTGATTAACCTTATGTCTGACATAAGCGGAGTGATCATGCATATGATCGTAGAGGTCATCTAGAAAGTCATCTCTTTGTATGCGCTGAGCGTCACTAAGTCCTTCTCCTTTGAGCTCCACACTCAATACTTCACACATCATACCAAGAACACTAATACGGATTGTATATGACTGGAAAGAAAAATATATAAAATATATTTACTCGTTTGTTTTTCAAGTTAAACTGTACGACAAGAACATGGTTTTATTAAAAGCAAAAGAATTTAAATATCACAGAATGACACAAATAAGTCAATATGGACTTTCATGTATATTAATTTTAATAATTGAATATTTCAAACCTCATCACTCTCTAAGTATGGCTGTATAGTTGCTATAGCATTAGCCATTTCCTTGGGCAATTCTTTCGTCAATTCTAACAAGAATGAACCACAATTCTTAGCAGCCCCTTGTTCCGTTCCACAATTGTCTGCCTCAGTGGAAGCGAGAGCCTCGGCTATTTCTCTAACCTATATAATAAATTATATTGTATTATTTTAATCTGTAATACTTGTAAGCAATATTTCGTATTTTTCTATTCACCATTTGAGGTCCGAAGGTTGCGAGGCCAAAGTCTTTAGTCAATTGTACAACACCCGCACATATTGGTAACACTGAGTGCTCGACCATTTGTAGAATCTGTGATAAATATAAGTTTTAATAAAAATATGTTATACAAAGTATTAAATTTTTTCTGCATACTCTTAACTCACCTGTACTAATTTTATAAGACATGACGCTCCATGGTTATATTTCTTTATTAGAACACCTAATATTTGAAAGACTGTTTCTCTAACACTTTTGTTTTTAATTATCTGCTCTTCCAATGCTTTGTAACAAGGTTCCGAAACCATACTGAAAATAATGATTATTTTAATGATCGTCAAAAGTGAGAAACATATTAAATTACTATTTTGAATGGTATTTAATGTATATTTAAATTTTAAACAACCTTCTTCTATGTTATTTCTTAGCGATCAATTAACTATGTATTTATATAGTAATAAGTTATGTATAACTATTAGTTATGTATAAATATATAGAAGTTATGTACAAATGAATAAAATCTTACGAAACAAAATTATCCTCTGCCAGTGGAGGGTCCCACAAATGTGGTAAAGGTTGTTGTAGAAGTAAGTGAAGCGTTACTAATGCAGATTGTTTATCGGACTCCGTCCAGCCACAAAACTCACTATCATCAGCCGCTTTCTTGTTCTTCTTACCAAGAGTCAACTTGGTAGAATTCTGGGAAAAGTTTTGTATGTATATAAAACATATATTGGATGCATTATTAACATTTATTAGGATTTATTTTGGAAGTGGCATTAACAAATATAATAATAATATCGGCAAGTTATATTTTGCTTTACTTTTTTTTAATTTTATAATGAAGAGATTAATAAATTTTAACAGATTCCTTTTATCAAATATTATTATTTTTAATACAACTCACATCAGCAGCCAGTTTCACATCCTTAACCTTCATGATATGTGAAAATAAATACATAACCATTTTAACTATATTCAGATTTTTAACTCTGACATCACTATCAATGGTTTTTTCTTGAAGTATGGGTTCCAAATGTGTACAGAGATTCTTCACAGTCCTAAAGATATGATCAAATCCTGGAAGGCATGAATTTAAGGTCATATATGTTTCAACTTGGTATTTCATGAGATTCAAGTACTATTTTCAATAAAATCCCTCTAGTGTCACAGTAAAAGTTTAAATTACCTCTGTTAATAATATTCCACTCAAGCTTCGTGCCGTGCACAATAATTGAGAAATAAGTATCGAAATGCTCAAGTATATAATCAATGCCATCAGCGTTATATCCTCGTGCAGCATCTAAAGTTCATAATTAATTTATTTACATATAATCCACAACAATACGAAAAGTATATTTTTTCGATAAATACCTTGAAGTTTCGATAGTAACATGCGAGGTTGAACAACGTCTTCAACATGATATTGCCCAGCATGAGACTCTAGAAGCTCATCCTTATTCAAAGGAATTATGAATTCAAAGTGGCTCATCGTTGTCTTTTATAACTCAATAAATAGCTTCTCAATAATATTATACTTTGAAATGTCGACAATGTTTTCTGGCATAAATATGTTCACTTCAGTTCATTCCTTTAATAGAATTCTCATAAACATATTATTATTGTTTACTATACTGTAGGTAAACGCATTCATTAGGAATTAAAACCCTAAAACTAAAACATTTCAAATTGAATAATACCGTTGACACATAGAACTCGACCAAGTTTCAAAATGAAATGTTGCCAGTACATACATACTTTCAATTTATTTATAACCTTTCATATTAATATTTCGTTTTCGCTTCTCTCAGCCCTAAGAATTGCAGTAGTTTAAAGATTCCTCAAAACTTTATTGTACTCATACGTGAATGATATAGTTTCTACTGATATAAGAATTAAATTTAAATATAACAAATGATTATTTTGTTAATAGTTTGTATAAATAGTGTCTTAAGAAAGACAAAACGATAATAAAATATGTTATATTAAATTAAGGAAATCTGTAAAAAATATTTTGGTTTTTAAAGCGATATATTACTGAAGCGGTCTAAATAGATATATTTTAAACAAAATTAAAATACTTTGTATTACAAATTTTTATTTTATGCGGTTATCTGTAGCTATTTGACACGTTGCTGTGTTATTCTCAGACGTCAAGTGACCTGTAAGTTAAACGTCATTTGACGAAGATTGTCTGTCCAGTCGGCGATTCGTTTCTTTTGCCGTGTCAGTTGTAAATGTACACGTTACAACATTTTACTCTGGCTTTTAACTTTCTCTAGCAATTCGTGTTATTATTAAGTGAAGCATAACTCAAAGCCACTTCTAAAAATGTCGGGAAAGGCTAACAAAGCTTTTACAAAGGAGGAAGAGTTGTTGCTACAGGATTTTAGTAGAAATGTATCTACTAAATCTTCTGCTTTATTTTATGGAAATGCATTCATCGTTTCTGCTATACCTATATGTAAGTGTGTTGATTACATTAAATAACTATGATAATATTTTATATACGTCACGCTTTCCATTTAAGAACACCATATGTTCAAAACTAAAATACACTTTACAGGGCTGTTCTGGAGAGTTCACGCTTTAGAAGTAAGTTCATCATTGGCTTGGTTTGCCATAGTTACCGTGGCTAGCACTTGGTTACTTGCGTTAGCTTACCGTAATACCAAGTTCCAATTGAAACACCGTGTCGCTGTACGTCGTGAAGACGCCGTCGCTCGTGAGATGGCTAGAAAGTTGGCGGATGAAAAGAAAATGAGCAGGAAAGAGAAGGACGAAAGGTGATTTTTTTTGTTGCTTAAATTGACCTTAATATACAAGTTTAATATACCCCATAATATTTATTTATTTACAAACTAGCTATCATTTAAAGTTTCCTTACTCAGAAACTTGTCGCCCCATTTAGTTAATTTCTTTGATACTGTGTGCTAATGGGGACAGTCAATTCTCTTGTCTGCTTTATAATAATTATCAATGTATACTTTCAGAATTTTATGGAAAAAGAACGAAGTTGCTGACTATGAGGCAACAACCTTCTCCATATTTTACAACAATGCTCTATTCTTGACCATTGTTATCCTCAGCAGCTTCTATCTCCTGCGTTCATTCACACCTACTGTGTATCCTTTTTGACAAAATATTAATAATATTTTATTACAGGTTTCTTAGAAGAAATGTAATATAATAACACTTATCTATATTTTAATAAAGTTCGGGAGATTTCATGATTTAATATAACAAAATAACTTATTAAATTTAATATTATAATACCAGTGATAACTTTTTGGTAGAAAGATTTTATTAAGTTATTTATGATTAAACAAATTTTCAAACACATATTGAGTAATTAAAAAGTAATTAGTGTTTATTTATTATTACTTCATAATTACGTTTCTAATGATATCCTTAGCATACATTACAGTAACTACATTGTATCCCTCACAGTTGCCTCGGGCCTCCTGGCTCTTCTGTCTACTGGCTCCAAGTGATAGTTGTGTGTTTGTGTGTGTTTGAACGTTTGTGTGAGTGTACTGTATGAACTCAATAATTATACAATAGTGCATCATAACTCAATATTAAATTATTTTCAATGCGCTCATGTTTGTTCATTTTTAGAAAGGATTTATACTTTAATATTAAGTAATAAAAACAAATGTTAACAGTCTTTTGTTTTATTTACAGTCCTATAGATATATAACTTACATTACTTAAGCTAACATTATAGTAGACCTTGAGTGTTCTCAAAATTATTTTGGGTGGGTATTATAAAAATAAATCACAATTTAATATAATAAAGTATCTTACTTTGATATGCTAATGTGTAATTCATCCCTTATTTTACATTTCATTTGTTATGAAAACAAATTATATAGCTTATGAATAACATTCGCAACCATTTATATTGTCACTGAAGTCGTTTCATCAATAAATAATGGTAGATAATTTGAATCACCATATATATACAGGCGGTGACTAGGGGTTGCACTGTCAAATCTCACTGTTCTTGATGAACGTTGGTTTGTCAGCGGCTCAGTACATCATGCCGACGTGCAATGGTTCCTGTCGTTGGAAGTATACGTTTGGATTGCTGCTGAAGGTGGGCTCCACGCTCGTGTACACGTTCCCCTCCTCCGGACGCATCATGACGCCTGCACATAAAATACTGTCAATTTGTTTGAACGTTTCAAGAGGAGAAGTTTTCTACTTGTTTTGTCTACGTGTAATCCAATCTACATCAAAGATTTCCTTATTACAAAGTTTTAATAGGACTGTAGTAGGGTAATTCTAATATGTACTGCATTTAATCCCTACTAATATTATAAATGCGAAAGTAACTCTGTCTGTCTGTCTGTCTGTTACGCTTTCACGCCTAAACCACTGAACTGATTTTAATGAAATTTGGTACAGATATAGAGTAGACCTTGAGAAAGAACATTTATCCCAAACTTTTGAAAAGTTCTCTTGGAAACGCGATATAACCGAACTCCACGCGGGCGAAGCTGCGGGCGGAAAGCTAGTTTTAATTATAAGTACGGGCAATAAAAATACTTTTGTCAATATTTCTCTGCTCGATGTGGAATACCCTACTTGTTTTATTTTAAAATCATATGTTGACTTAATTAATCTGAAATTGGTAACTTAGTGTTATTTTATGTCAGATTTGGACAAGAATATACATTCTTACATATAGTAGATATAGTAATTTAGGAAGTTCTAAGAATTTAAAGCAATTTAACTTAAATAGAAGAAGATTTAGACATTTGGCTGTCTCACTTTTACATTACATGTACATGTGATATAATACATTTTTTTAAAGTGTCATTCAATACAATTGAAGTCCTGTCACAATTATGTTGGCAATGTCACTATAGTGAGTATTAGATCCCAAGGGCTTTGACGTTAAAAAGCGGTGCTACATTACCTGGTGGCAGGAGATAATTATAGTGCGGGTAATTGTAGTGGTAGTGCGTTAGAGGGTGCAGAGGGTAGTGTGGCGGTGGACACAGTGAACGTGAGTGCGGGTGCGAACCGGCGTACAGAGCACCATAATAATCTGCGAAAGTAAGTTTTGCGGCCTGTGATCAAATTGCTGTGCTTCAAAGCGCTAGTTCTCACACATTAGCGCACTTTAGATACTTAACTAACCGGCTGGCTGAGCTTGGTGCTCCTTGCGGTCTATCATAGGCGCTGGCGCTGGAACCGGGGCAGCGGCAGACACCATTCCGTATTTAACTGGTTTGAAGTGGAAAAAGGACGGCGAGTAGCCAGAACCACCAGCGCCTATGGAACTGAGTCCTTCCTCTCTATCGGCATCCCACCTTCCTTCGCGGCCTAGTGCGGCTAATCGTCTGCCTTTCGGTGCAAACATTAAAGCGAATACGACTACACATGTGCTTATCAGGCCCGCTCCTACACATGCTTCACGATGCTGTTCCGGTGCCCCTAATGCAGCCGCTATCCAACAGATCCACACAGCTGCAGTGGCACCTCCAGCACCAGCTATGTGAGTTGCTTCCCTATAATTATCGCGAATTCCTCGTGATCTTAACGCCACACCACAAACCACAGCAATCAGAAATGCGGCATAGCATAATGAAAGTAATAGATCAGACAGTGGCGAATCACATTTCATGGCCCCGTTGGCCACTTTGGGTGGAGACCCTCCTAACCACTGTGCTCCTATTGCAACTTGAATCATTACGGCAAAGAATAACAAAAGTCCTTGGTATGCTGCTGGTAAGTACACTCCACCGTTTAAGCTTAATAAAAATACACATTTCACTAATAAAGATGCAAAAACGATCACATAGGCTACGCCTGTTCCAAATCGTACGGCACCACATGTAAAAGCAGTTGGCGCTGCGGTAAAAAGTGCTGCTGTTGCTGCACAAGTAAAAAGTCCAAACAGTAAACATTGTCCCAGAAGTAGATGACGTTGACTTGGCGCTTTCCGACTTGCACCCCACACTATAAATGCTTCGAAACCTCCAATAATCGCCATGCTCACACACGCTAATGCCAATATTGGTACGGCCCATGGTTGCGCTCTTAATATCTGCACATTGTGTGGTGCTATTATTACTGAGGCGGTTGTATTTGCCGGACGCGATGTGGATACGACGACAACTCTTGAAGTAGAAACCGCTGGTACCGATGACTTCCTATGAGGTATGACAAAATATTCTGTGCTCATTTCTAGGCGATGTGCCTCCGTACGGGTAGGTCGTCGCGGTGGGGGTACAATGTCTTTCTGTGGCTCGACTCGTTCCTCATTGACGTTTTCATCATAATTCTGATCTATCACCCTATTGTTTTCATTCTCTAAATAATGTAACTCAGCGGGAATGTTGCGTGGTGCGTAGGGAACAGGAACACGTGGTGCTAGGCGATCTCCAAAGCGTGCCGCACCAGCGTCAGCGAGGGTGGCCAGTAACGCGGTGAAGAGCAGTGCTCGCACCGCTACGTCCGCCATCTGGCCCGGCCGGCCCTCAGCTGCCTCTTCCTCGGTGCACACGCATTCGAACTTCCCTGCCTCTGAAATTGATAAACGTGCCGTTAGTTTAGAGACAAGGTGTCCGTTTCGAGTCGCGACGTTCCGACATTGCGATAACCAAACAAAGAATCTCTCGACAGAACCGGTTTTCTGGTCGCCTTGCACCTCTAGGCACCCCAACTTTGCCGATTTGTTATTCTTTATTTTATTTTTTGTCGGAGAACTTAAAATAGGCAATTCGTAGGCTGTGTTTTAGTCATTTATTTTGTAGGAGGTTGAAATCTGTAATCTTCTTGGAGATTAATGAAGGATGGAGGTATGCAAACGTACCTACTATATTATTAATTTTTTGTGAAGCAAAATTTCAAGAACTAATTTATCCTTTTTATTATTTTTCTATAACCTCTGTTCTTTTTTTTATTCTAAGACTGTTTAATGGAAGTATTTAAGTTGAATACTTAACATTTATTATAGTTCCTAGATTAACGAACTCTTGTTGTTTCATATATTTGGACGTATTCAATTTGAATCCGTAATATTTTTAACACAATATATAAAATATATGTGGTAATTATATGAATTCTTGATACAAATAACGTTAAAGTCATTGTACAAAATATAATCCGACAAACAATTAGCCAAAATCATTAATAAATTAAACAAAAATAACAATACTGGCACTGCACATTTTAATAAATGGATAATGATTGAAATTTGATAATAACTTGAGGTATTTTTGAAAGAAAATACTATAATTGTAAAAAAGAAATGTTTATTTCGTTTATTTTCTCTATTGGTCTTCAGTATAATAGGACTTCGGACGGGGCAACGAACGTATTAATTCTCATCCCCAAGAGACACCGTGCCTGGTTACAGCCTACCAGTTTCCAGTGACTTTTTATTACCCATCGCATATCCATCGGAACGCGTAAAATAAAAAATAACTTGATAATAAGGCATCTATAACTAGAATACCGATTACAAGAAAGATACGAGATTGATTTATGTGTGAATTCATTATATTGATTAGTGAATATGATTTCTGGTTATATTACGGCGTTATACCTATAAACTATAAAAATGCTGATTCTTGGAAAACTTATTAATTTATTTAAATTTTAATATTTCGTTAAGTGTTTTTTTTTTATTTATAAAAATTTAATAAGTTTTTTAAGAAAGAAATTGTAAAAGTAAACCTACTATCGATATTTTATCTAAATTAAATGTAATATCATATTAATCTCAAACCCGCTTCATTGGTCCTCGTACGCGTTTATCTAAATGAATCTACAATAGAATGCACACGAAATAAATTAGAAACAAAGGCCTTTGTACCTTATATGTATAAAAGTTTTATCCTACTAGGTTCACACAGTGGTATTACATTAAAGATAAGTTAAAGATTACGGAGTCGCAAATTGTGATAAAGCTTGAATATGCATCAATACCATACAAGGAAACACCTAATTCAGGCACGAGATTACACGGACAGCCCTGAACCGGATCGTGACTTTAAACTTCTTATCCAAATCAAAGCTTATTGTAGACAGATTTGGCGCTTAGCTAACGGTGTACACTGAGATCGCGTCTCGACAACCGCGCCGACGAATGATCTCGGCATTGCTAGTCGACTTATCTAGATAATAAATCATAACTGAATATAATAATCTCTCCAAGTTTCCAACGTAAATATGATTTCGTAATATATTTCTGTAGGTTGCAGTGGTTCATCGTGCATCGTTAATTGGTGATGCAAGTTTTGTTCCATTTTTTCTTTTTTTTAAACTTTTGATTTTCTTATTTTTCTTTTACCATGTTGCTGTACTTATATTCCCGACTTTTTATAAAGAAAGCTTGTAGCTTTATTTTTGCGTATCTCGTTTTGCATTTGATTATATCGGAAGATAACATTTAGTTGTTGTTTGCAAGTCGTGATCGTGATCTCAATAAAAATATTACCTATCTAAAATGCTCGTGATGCTTGATTTGTGGCTTTTGGAACTTAACTAATCATTATTCTTTGAATCTAGAACAATATCTGCTATATTGTAAATAAAAAATCTATACATAATTAAATATATGGATTCCGGACGGCAAAAAATACATTGAAATTAATGATGCGATAAAAATACAGTTTTAATCGCGAAAGAGCTTTTTACATAGCTATTAGATAAAGAAAATATGTTCCTAATGAATATGCGATAGACAGGATAAGTTGTAAGGAAAGGGGAAAGTCAGTTTTCCCATAAGAGCCGTATTACATGACAATGAGATCCAAGGAAACAGAGCGTTGTCATGTGCGGCCGGCCGTTGTAAAAGTTACAGCGCAGCGTAAATACTCTGGGTGAAACTCGCCTGAACTGATTGCGAATACTGCCATGTCACATATCACACTTGCCAACAATTATTCTACTCGATATTATGCTTGCATCATCGCCCATCTTATGTTTGATTAGGTAAGGTGTTAGCAAAATGATGTTATTAATGAAGAGATATATGTATGTAGGTAAATTGATATTTACCTTAAAAGTGAACTACTAAGAAAACGTAATGATTTACGTTTTCTTAGTAGTTCACTTTTAAGGTCTAACTGGCTTATGTCAAATGCAAATACAATCAAATACAATAGTCTCTAGAACTCTTAATCGTTTGTATAAAAATATTAATATCACATAAAAGATTTCGTGTAATAGAAATCATTATCCAAGTAACTATAACTAATTTAATAGACTCATTAACTTTCTTTATAAATCTTTTCATAAATGATGATAAATCTATTAATAATTGATACGTAGGTATGTATGTATTTGTCAACTTTTTTCACTCTACGGTTATAAGTGAAAAAAGTATAAATGTAGAAAGTAATCCGCCATCTTTATAGATTGCATTACAATTAAAAATGATGATTAAAATTGTAGCTGGTATTAGAGAAATATTGGAAAGTTACAATTAAATAAATATCGACAATGGTGTTATAATTTGGCAGTATTACCATAGTCATTCTAAATATAATATAAAAATTTTAAAAATATAGTTACCACTGGATTTTTTAAAACATAATTTCTATGTTGTCGTCATAATATTCCATTAAACAATTTTAGTTCTAGTAGCTTTGTCGTAAACTATCGTCATAACTGTAAGTCCGCCATATTTATTTTTAAGACGAATTTTTTTAAAACCCTATCCACGTCTGAATATAAATTCTTTGTCATTTGGGACAATAGAAACAAACAAAATTATTTTTGTGTTTACAATATTATCATGGGGTATTTCTAACGTATATCTTTAATTATAGGGGTAAATTCATATATCTTCTGAAAATTATCAGCTGGATTGGTTTTTTATTTATTAGAGATTGGAATTTTGACGTTGTTATTCTTTGAGTTTTATTTTCATGACTCCTGTGATTGATTTGTTATTTTTTAATATAAATATGTTTTACGTAAATTTATTGAGTTATATTTTAATAATTTTGTAAAAAAATGTCTCTAAGATTATAATAACAGATGGACAAGTTAGTAAAAAAGTTCTATTTATGTCTTCCTATAATGTAAATTACCATAAGCATTAAATATGATAACTTATATTTAAATCTCTCTTAGACACATAAATTTTATTCACACGTATATATACCTAATAAAAGATTTAACTGATTAAGCACTGTTTTTATTTCGTTTAGTTTATAAAGATGTGACTTATTATGACACAAAAATGAAATATCATTTAAATTTTATTAATACGATGCAACTAATGTGTGATATTATTTATTTGGAAATATATTTGAATATTTTTATTCTACGCAAGGAACATTAAACGTAAATTAATAAAAGAACAGCTACTTGTCATTGTTAGCTAGCGATAATGAAAATTAACAAATGGATAATTTCTGACGGGTTACTTAGTAAAATTTCTGTAGAGATAATTAGTACGACGCTTAAAATTGTAAAGTTTATTCAAATAATACATTGACATAATCTGGCTCATTGTTTAAACTTTATGTGTTGCCATTACCGTTGTAATGTAGGGCACAGATTAATATTCGTAAACGTCATCTGTCGTACCAGCATCCCGCGGTTTGACGTGCGTTAAGCCATTTAAAGGTTTATTATTGTAGACATCGTTCAGAATTTACGAGTATGGATATGCAATAAGGAAGTGTTCGTTGTTGAATGGGCGATATTTAGTTATATAACTATTTCAAACATGAGGCTTATTCGTACATTATTAATGTATTATATGTAATATACCAAACTAGGTACCCACCCCAGCCTTGCAGTTGTACTCTACAAAATTAGCAAATAGACTATGTTGCTTATAATGCGTGGAGTTAAATCAAGACAAACAAAAATCTCATCATCTTTCTTCGTTAAACATAAAATAAGTTAGAAAAACGGTACATTTTTATGTTAGTAACAGTTTTTTAATATAATAAAGTTAGAAAAATTTTGTATACAAAATAGATCATGTGAAAAAGTAAGCTATCGCGTGGATTTAATTTTGAGAATTATTAAACTTATGATAACCGTCGAATGGTAGGTACATCCGAATTAAATAATTCAAAATTAATTTATAAATACCGATGTAGGCTTGAACACGAAGTAATTTATTTTGATAAGACTTAATAATTAATACTGTAACTACGAAAATAGCTTTCATATAAACGCTTCATGAATGGCAATTTTTAAAAGTAGTAAAATGGATATAGTATGTTATCCTTAAAAAATAGATTTATGAGATCTCGGACTTTTCTGTAGACCTATATTAAATACACAATTCCACCATACATTGTTTTGTTATATCTCAAAGGTTTTTGGCAGCGTTTTAGTAAAAAAATCCTAGCTGGCTCATATTTTTTCGACATCTTCAACAAATATCGTTAATGTACACACGAATCAATACAAAACCTTTACAAATTATATATTAAAACCTTTCTCGAGAATCACGCTATCGAATGGTGAAAACCGCTTGATAATTGGTGCAGTAGTTTTTCTTTTTATTGCGAACAGACAGACAGACGCGGCGGGGGACTTTGTTTCTAATATGCATAATGATTTGTATTTCTGTACGCTTAATTAAATTGTGCATTAGATGTCCAAAAACCTTAATTTCAGTTTAAAAAAAAAAACAAGAAAGCTTTCCTTTTCGAAATTATAATTAATGTATTGTTTTCCTTATATTTT